CAGCCATCCTTGCCGCCTACCCCGCCGCCGCCGTCGCCGGGGGAGGGAGGATGGCGCGGGGAGGCGCCTCTCTTCACACGCCGCCGGCTGGAGCGCCACCGCAGGCAGCTCGAGGCGCTGCAGGAGATGCAGCGCAAGCAGCTCGACCACGCCCGCCGCGAGTCCACCTTGCCGCGCGAGACGGAACTGCAGGTCTTGCTGCCGCGCCACCGCTCGCCGGGGGCGCCGCCGCAGCTGCCGCAGTCGGCGTCGGTGGACGCTCGGCTGGGGAGCGTTGCCGACCTCAGCCTCTCGTCGCGCGCACTCACCGATGGGGCGGAGGAGCCGGCCGATGGGGCTCCCGAGGCTCCGCCGAGGGAGGAGCCAGGCGAGAGCCGCGGGTCGGACGAGACGGGGTGGCGGGCGGCGATCGTGGCGAACACAGCCCCGCAGCACTTTGCTCCGGTGCAGCAGCACCCGCAGGCCCCCTACTAGCTCTGTAGGCCACACCGTGAACTTAGAAGTAGCATCGAGAAAAATATATGTCTTATGTGCTCGCTGCGTTCATTATTGTTTGCTACTACACTGCGTGAGCGTGTACAGTAACCGATCTCTGGCGCGGGCGAGGCCGCCGCGTACCAAAGAAAGGAGGAGAGAGAGCTGAGCCCTGCCGCTGTCAGGCTGTCAGGTGCTGACTGCTGTCAGGTGATCTGTCGGGCTGTCGGGCAGCTGTCAGGCACTGTCAGGTGCCTCTGTCAGACCAGCTGTCGGGTGCTGTCAGTGCTGTCGGGTGCTGTCGGGTGCGTGTCTGACATCAGAGGGGATCTGTAGCTGTCGGGTGCTGTCGGAGCTGTCGGGTGTTGCTGTCAGACGCTGTCGGAACTGTCAGAGCTGTCAGGCTGCTGCTGCTGTCAGACGTTGGGCTGTTGCTGTCAGGTGCTGTCAGGTGGTGCTGTCGGGGTGCTGTCAGGCTCTGACACACACCAGCCACACTTATGACATTATCAAGAGGAGACCAGCAGGACTCTGCTGCACATACTCTAGTCTCTACTCTGCCTCCGGTCCCACCATCTTCTTCATGGTGGACGTCACCATCTTCTTGTCTGCCGCACTGAGAGAATAGCAGAGAGGCAGGGGGGAGTGCTTCTTCAGGTACACCTTGCTGATGATCTGGTAGTTGCTGGTCCAGCGGAAGGCCTCCCCATCGTTGTCGCTCGTCAGCTTGTAGTACTTGCACGCTCTGTTCTGGTAGCGCGGGCCGTCTGGGGGGGTCCCGTCACCCTTCACCTCACGGTACCACCGGAGGATAAAGAGGCCCTTGGGGTCGTTGATGAAGACCCCGTTGCTGCGCTGACTCATCGAGAGCTGGCGCAGGTACTCTGCGCTCGAGCTGCCAGTGGCGCGGCGCGCGTCTACCGTGCCGTCGGCGACGGCCACCTGCTCGATGTTGCCAATGGCAAAGACCTTGGATCTGTCCTCCATGGTGAAGAGCACCGCAACTGCGGAGAGAAAGAGAAGAGGGAGAGATGAGAATGCACGTCTTATGTGTGTGTGTGTGACAGGCGGCAAGGGCGTGGTCACCGTCATCATCATCCATGTAGAAGTCGAGCTCCTCATCCACATCCTCGCCTCGCTGCTGATGGGACTTGATGAGCCGCTTGACGTGGAAGCGGAGCTTGCGATCCTGTCACTCCTCCTGGATGGAGACGTTGAAATCTGCCAGCAGCTTACGGATCTCCTCAAAAACTCTGCGCTGCTGCCCTCCTCGCCGCCGGTTGGAGGCGCCACGTTGGCCCCCGTCCGCATCAGCTGGTTCAGCACGGCCTCGGCATCTGCAGCATCCTGTGCGCCCATGGCGGTCAGCTCGGCCGGCTCAGCATCGGGTGTGCCGTTTGGATCATCCTCCTTCTCTCCCGGCTCCTCCAGCAACGCGCCACCCTGGACATAGGTGTCAGCCAGAGGAAAGTGCAAGCACGGCTGCTTGAAGAAGCCGGTCTGTGCACAGAGGTTGGCGCGGACTCCACAGAATCGAAGGCGCGGACCACATACACATGTCTTTGCATGTAATAGTTTTGCTATACCCTCATGGGACACAAGAAAGAGGCTGTACGGCCTGAGTACGGTCTGTGCTGCTGTCGGGCTGGTCGGGCTGTCGGGCTGTCAGCGCTGCTGTCAGGCCGCTGTGTGCTGTCGGGCTGTCGGGCAGCTGTCAGGCTGTCACGTTAGGGCCTGACAGCGACGGGACGCCTCTGATGTCAGGCTCTGCTGTCAGGCTGTCAGAGACGTGCTGTCAGACTGTCGGAGAAAGTGCTGTCAGCGCTGTCAGGCTGTCGGGCACTGTCAGGCGCTGTCCGGGGTTTGCTGTCAGGCCGTCAGACCAGGGCTCAGGAGAGAGAGACGCGCGGTGTCCGGTGAATTGAATAAAAATGGCGCCGGCTTTCCCGTTCGCGCGCGCGGGTGTGATGTGTCGACGGGGCGGCTTCGCCGCCGAGTGAGCGGCGCGCTGCGCGCGCAGCTGCATGCCTCTGCGCCCACCGCCTCGTGCGGCATGGAGCCATGGTCCCCTGTGGCACGGCACTCAAAGGTCTCGTCAACTCCGCGGACCGCGCCCGGGGTGCATGCGCGCCCTTAGCTATGTGAGTGTCGGTGCTAACCCTAGCCCTAGCCTCCCACGCCTGAGCTAGCCCTAGCTGTGTATGCTAACCCTAACCCTAACCCTAACCCTAACCCTAACCCTAGAACCCTTACCTGTCTCGCCACTCATCTCTGACCGGAAGGTTCCGTGTAACCCTAGCTCCGCTCGGCCCTAACCCTAGCCGGGCTCCCCGGGCAATCTCTCAACCCTAGCTAGCCCTCGAAGCTAGCCCTAGCCCTAGCCCTAGCCCTACCTAGCCCTAGCCCTAGCAAAGGCCGGGAATGGACCCCCACCGTTGCTGGTCCAATCAACGTGGCGTTTGCTTGACCCAGTCCTACTAGGATACAAGGGGAGGTCTCACCGCGTATGTCTAAACCCTCGCGCTCGCTATCTCGGGCCGCGCCAAAGGTGAATTGAGCCGGTGTGCCGCCGCGCGAGCGACGCTCCGAGAGTGCCCGAGATAGCGAGCGGTGGGTGGGGTGTGTGTGTGTTTGGGGGGGGGGGGGGTCGGGGGGGGAGTCGACAGAGGTGTGCTAGTCGCTACAGTCGGACGTCTGTTGGTGTCGTGTGAGGGAGGACCGGTAAAATTCTTTTGTGTGCGGGAGTTTTGCGCAAAATTCTTTTGTGTTAGTGCCAGTGCGCGCCAGTCCCGTGCCCAGTGTTGTGCGAGGGAGTTTTGTTGTAAAATTCTTTTGCCTGTGATAGTACTAGCACGCGCCAGTTCGCACCTGTGTCGAGCCTGTCTGCTGTGAGAGAGAGTTCGGTTGTTTAAATTCTTTTGTCAGAGAGGCGGCTTTTAAGAATTCTTTTGTCAGAGAGGCTTGCGCTTCAAGAATTCTTTTGTCAGTCGGCGGTCACACGAGGTGCCAAACAGGGCCCCACCGAAAGCTCCCAGTTACATGAGGCGCACCCTGCTATTGGGCACGGCGGCCTGCGCGTCTGGCCTCGTGCTAGGCAGTGGCGGCGGTGTCCGCGCTGTGCGAGCGCAGGCCGCGTCGATGAGCTCCTCCGACGAGCGCGTGTTCTCCCTCGCCGACCAGGTGGCCCGGTTCGCGCGTGCAAAGGAGGAGAACAACCGCCGGTACCTGGACATCGACACGGTGTACGACGGCTCCTACCTCAAGGGCAAGCGCGTGCTCGTGACCGGCGGCAACCAGGGGCTTGGCCTCGCAATCGTGCGCGAGCTCGTGGCGCAAGGAGCCGAGGCGGTGGTGGTCGGCCGCCGCAGCTCTCCCGACCTCGACGCGCTCGGGTGCCAGGTCATCACGGGTGTGGACGTGACGGACGAGGCGGCGGTCAAGGGCAAGATGGTGGACGAGCTGGGCGAGCCCGTCGATTACGTCATCAACAACGCCGGGTATTTTCCGGACATCACCGACTCGGTGCGCCACGCCCGCGCCTGTGCGCCTGAATGACGTCACGCCACACTCCGTGAAACGACACCGAACCCCGTACTCCCCGCACCCCGCGCCGGGCGTCCCCACGTGCCTCGCGGACCGTCCGAAGGTGGCGGACGGCATGATGTTCTCCGAGCAGCTCAAGCAGATCGACATCTGCGCGCTCGGCCCGCTTCGCGTCTCAGAGGCCCTCGTCAAGGCCGGCAAGGTGCGCGGCGCCATCGTCGTCATCTCGTCGCAGGTGGCTTTGCGCCGCGCCCGGCACCCCGCGAACCCGCGTCGACGCTCTCCACACGCCGCCTTGCGCGGCGCTCGGTCTCTAGGCGGGCTCGGCCGAGTGGCGCACGACCCAAAACGCAGACGAGGGGGGCGACTACGGGCACCACATGTCGCGCGCCGCCTGCAACATCGGCGGCGTGCTGCTCGCCGAGGAGCTCAAGAAGCGCGGCGTGCCCGTGCTGCTGCTCCACCCCGGCTTCAACAAGACGGGGATGACCTCCAAGTACTCTCACATCTGGGAGGTTGAGGGGGCGGTCGACGCGGCCGTCGGCGCGAAGCGGGTGCTGCACGAGGTGCGCGGCGCAACCATGGAGCGGACGGGCCAGTTCATCAACTGCGAGGACGGACTGCGGATCCCGTGGTGATGTCTGGCCGCGGCAGCGTTCGGCCAGCGCCGCGTCTCGGCACTCGGGGAGAGCGGATGCGGCCGCTTTGGAGCGACACCTGCTGCTGGGCGGTGTAGGGGCGGAGTAGTACACGTACAAAAAGGGAGAGTATTGAGCGAATTCGTGTGTCGATCACGTTTCCGGGGCGCGTCGCCGCGCCCCGCGGCGGCCGCCGCGGAGCCGAGCCGCTTTCGCTGCGTGCCGCTGCGCAATAAAACCACCTTCGGTTTCGTCGCCAAGAGTGTACTCTTGGGCCCCGAACCCGAATAAAAAAACGTGAACCCCGCTTCGAGTGTATCTCGAGTGTTGCTATGGAGCGTCCGTTTCAACACGCGCTCGCGCGCTTGCGTCTGCTGGCCCCCAGAGAACATGTTGCACCACAAGCTCCCGGCGGAGCCCAACTGCTCGCACTCGACAAGGCAGTCCATCCACTCGCGGCAGCTGAAGTCGAACTTCCACTCGATGCGGCTCGCGCCGGGTTGTGAGCTCGGCGAGCGAGGTCGGAGAGCGACCTCAGTTGGCCCAAGCCGCACGCCACTGAGGCAGAGCGGCCGTGCGCGTACGACGCCGTACGCGCACGGCCACTCTGCACCGACCGCAGCGCTGCATTGCGACCGCAGAGGCTCAGCTCAGCCAGGGCTCCTGCAGCGTGCACCTCGATCCCTTAGGGGACCCCTAGGGTTCTGAGGGCCGGATTTTTTAAGACCTTTTAAGAAACGAGGAGGTTTGGGGGCTTAACTTGCCATTTAAGAGATTGCAGGCACGGGGGGTCCCTCTTTTAAGACCGTTTAAGAATTTTAAGAAAATCGGCCTCACCGGCATGCGTCGCTGGGTTCCGCGCCGTTTTCTCCAATAAAAAGAAATTTTCCCGCGGAAATCACGATGTCAACCCTCCCCAAATGGGTGATCTGATGCTTGTAGGGCTTGAGAGTGGCCTGCCATGTCACAAGAAGGACTGTGGTTGCAGGAGAGTACCACCAACCATCACTCTAGTTGGTATAGTACCCCACCTTCACCCCTCCCATGATTTCTTTTTTAGTTTCCCATAAGTAAGGTAGGTAGGTAGGTAGGTAGGTAGGGGCACCGCAGGGGCCGGTCAGGTTTTTCCAGAATTTCAGCATCAGGGCCGCCCAAGCAAAAATAAACGCCACCTGAGCCAGCTGGCTGCCACACCCTGAGTTGGCGTACACCTAACTCAAGGCCACATCCTCTCTGTCGCCCCCCCCAGCACTCCAAGGTGCCAAGAGAACAAACAAGGGCACAATAAACAACTATCGACTCCCACCCCGCTCGAAAACCGAACCCACCAAAGTCGGGCAGTGGTCGATGCTGCAGGACCCTGGGCGTAGCAGAAGGCGACGGCAGGGCGGGCGAGCACAGCTCTCTCCAAACCGTACGACTACCGCCGCGGGCATATTTCACGTGTGGCTCGGCTCAGCCTGGCCTCCCTACCTGAACCTCGTCCTGCATGCCGCCGCGGCAAATCGCCGCGCAACCTTCTACTTTGTCGGACCCCCGCTGCCGCCGGGCAGCGCCATCGGCAACGTCGTCTCGCTCGACGGCCGGAACGGGACCCTGCTCCGAGAGAGGATAGCAACGCACCTCGGAGTGTCCATCCGGCTGACCCACCGCAAGATGTGCGATCTGAAGCCCACGTGGCCGGCGCTCTTTCCCGAGCTGGCATCGCGCCTGCCTCGCCGTCCCGTTTCCCATCCCGCCGCCCCTCACCCACGCCACCCTGGCGCGCCTCCTAGGCGCGGCTGCACGAGTGGGTCGGGTTCTCGGATCTGGACGTAGTGTACGGCGACCTCGACGGCGAGATTGCACGCCTGCAGGAGGGGGACGAGCTGCTCGTCCCAGCGGGCATGTACCCGCAGCCCCTCGCCAACGGCAACCTGATGCTCTTCCGCTCAACCCACAAGCTACTACACGCTTGGGAGCGGATCCCCGGCTGGCGCACGGCGAGAGCGCCCGCCCTCGCGCCGCCATCGCCGCCGCCTCTGTCCTCACCCGCGTCGCGCCTCGATCAGGCGCTCGCAGACCCGCGCTACCGCGCGCTCGACGAGTGGTGGGGCGTGCGCCCCTCCTTCTCCGACATCCTGTACGACATGACGCTGGACGGCAACCTCGTCGCCAGGTATTCAGTGATGCACCCTCGACTGAGTAGAGAACTCATGGCCACCGTTCGTCGGTGAGGTGATGAGAGACATTCGTGTAGGCCGACGGCGCGGCCGCTGGTGGTCGACGTGATCAACCTCTTCAGCGGCAAGGAGTGGAGGGGGACGTTGCGTCTGGCTCGCCCCGCCCCGTCGCGACAGTCCACGAGGCTGCAATAGGACCGGGCCGCGCAGCAGGAAGTCGCGTTCTCGAGGCGCAGCGCCCAGTGTCCCTTCCCTCCGCCCGGGGCCGCCTCGGCTCCTTCACGTCCTCCCGCCGCGGGCAGGCGCGAGGTGCCGTTGGACGGCCTCGGCGCCACGTTCAACGCCACGCTCGCGCGCGGCCGGCTCATGGTCGAGCGACGCGGGCCTTGCGTGTGCGCGAGGGACGCTATTGTCTCGCAGCTGGGCACGTCCAGCCTGGCCACGTGCGCCGAGTGCACGCGACACGGCAGCGCTTCGGAGCGCGCCGGCATGCTGGCGCGCGCTGACCCTTCCTCCCCCACGGAATAGGCTTTCACATCGGCCAGGCCGGCCGCAACATCAGCCGCCGGGTGGAGGTGCTCGGTTTGCACTTCATGTCGCTCAAGCGCGCGGCCGCTTGGACGTCCCCCGCACCGTCGTGCGGCGAGCACGAAAGCGTCGGCCTGTCGCGGCGAGGGGTATCATGCACACGTTGCGAGAGAAGGTGCGAATGAGCGTTTGAGAGGAGAGAATACCAGGGAATAAATAAATAAATAAAACGGTCAAACTCTGAGACGAGATGGGATTAAAGGGACATGCACAACATGCACAACATACATGTACATGTGTCCCCGGACCCCGCCCTGCACGATCTTGGTGTGAGGGATCTTCAATCCGTGTCCCCTCACCCCTCGTCACAACCCGACACGCGGCGAGGCGGAAGAGCGGCAAGAGTTCGTGGGGCTGCGGCTACGGCTGCGGCTACGAGAGGGGCCGGGGTCGCGGGAGAGCCGCTGCGCCGCGTGGACGCGCCTACACACCGCTCTTGGTCTTGCTCCGCTCGCCACCTCTCGCAAAGGTCAAAGCCATATAGCCACCACGGCTAGTTCCATTTCACTCTGACACGCTAATCTTGAAAACGTCCAACGGAGCTCCGTGTTGCTCCCAGCGCCCTCCCCCGCGCTTCCTGCGGCCCTAGCCGATGGTACTAGCATGGGAGGTCATCTGGCTACCGCGAGAGCGACCCAACTCGTCGACATCGTCCGATGATGGTGCCTCAAAGTCAGCCTCCGGCAAGTCTCCTTTCGCCGTCCCTCCACGCCTGGAAGACCTCGTCGTCATAGCCGTATTGCATCACAGCCTGCTGAACTGCGTCGTGTACGACCCCTGCCGTCCTATCCTGCGCCTCAGCGTCGGAAAAGTCGAACTCGGAGTCATACTCGGAAGCAGGCACAGACGAGAGTGATATATATTGACGAGAGTAAATTTGATTCCGCGGTTCTTCTGCGTTCTCGGTTCTGTGTGTGTGTGTGAGAGAGAGAGAGAGAGAGAGAGAGAGAGAGAGAGAGAGAGTGAGACTGAGAGAGAGACCGAGAGGCGAGAGGACCGCGGTCAGCGCTCGCGACGGTGAGTCGCGCGCGGTGCGCGCGCACGCACAGAGAGCAGTCAGCATGCGGACTGCGACCCCGGGTGTACGACTACGACCGTACTCTACAGTCACGCCGCGCCAGCCGCGTGACCGCGCGAGCTCGCTAGCACCCACCCAGCTCCCAGGCAGCTAGCAGCTACCCAGCTACACACGACAGCGGGGCCGGTTGGGCGGGGCCTTTTTTTTTGTTTTTGCGTGCGTAGAGAAAGGTAGTAGAGTCTAGAGAGTGCTCACGCGAAAAGAGCGAAGAGAAATCATAAGCGAGGTACACGAACCAGTATACAGTGCGCACAAGGCGAACAGGAGGACCACACAGGAGGAAGCCCGCCGTCGCGTGCGCTGTGCGGTGCGCGCGCGGGCCGGAACCTCTGTTGCGCTCCACCAATCGCTCGCACAGACTCACCGCGCACAGTCGGACGAAGGGAGGGTTGGCACCCACTATTCGGTACGCCGCCCGGACCGAGTCAGCGAGGCCAATCTCCAATCATCAGGCGGGCGGGTGGCCGTCGCCAGCGTCGCCGATGAGGAGGCGGGAGAGGGTGAGCGACAGTTCACGCTCTATGCGTAGCATGGGGGGCGGCATGGGCGGCATCGAGGATGGCAGGTGCAGCTTGAAGAGCTTGGACGGGTCGAGCGCCTTCAGCTCGTTGAAGTTGTAGATGCCGAGGCCCGCCTCGTCAGGGACGATCACGATGCCGCCTCCCGCTCGCACGATGTACGCCTTCAGGAGCGCGACGAAGACGGTCGCGGCGACGAGGACGCCACCAGCCTGCCGAGGACGAGGGTGTCGGCCGAACGGAGCGAGTGCGCAGACGGGGCATGCGAACGAAGCGAGTGCGCAGTTGGGGCATGCGGAGGTCTCGGTTGCCACCTCTTCCAGGCGCTGTCGCACGCTCGGCGCTGTGACGCTCCGTCGCGCCTCGCGGCGGAGAGTCTGCCACCAGCCCTCCGCTATGGCATCGGAGCGGAACTGCCTCCAGGAGTCGTCCGCGTCGATAAAATTTTCCTCCTCCTCCTCCTCCTCAAACTCGGATGCAATTGGTGGCCGCGTCCGTGCGCACCTCGTGAACGCGGTACTTGCGATATTTCGCGGCGCGCCACGAAGTGCGCTTCCGTGAACAAGAAACAAGCACTTCGCCTGGACAAAACAAAGCAGCAAACACGCGAGGCGCACCGCCATGCCCCGGTGAATCCTTGTGGACGATTTCGTATGATGAAGAGGGTTCGGCACCATGCACGATGCGGGGCACGTGGGCATAATCGGTAGGTAAACGAACAAGGTTCAATTCGTCTACGTACGGCTTAGTGAGTGGTTGGGGTGGCTTCAGGCATCCCCAAGGGAGCCTCTGCGGTGCCACATAAGCAGCTTAGTGATTGTCGAGACTTTAAAGTATTCGTTCGTTGGAAGATCTCGCGAACAAGACAGACACTGCTACTCGAGTAGATCTATGGTCTATGGTCACCAGTAAATCATAATTCGACTTTGATCTTTGAGGGATCATATCTCAAAAAGCCGGGAGATAAATAAATAAACAATCTAATTCCCACACACGCTCGGCGCACCGGCCTTGCTCGAGCCCTCGGCGAGGGCTTGTGCTGTGAATGCCAGGGTGTTGGGAAAGACAGTCTAGAGGGGGACGACACTGCCTCGGCAGCGTGCACCTCGATCCTGCACCGTGTTTGTTATGACCCCCCCAATGAACACCCCAGTGAGGGAGGGCGAGACGATCGAGGGGTCCCGTACCATGCGGAATCGGCCCTATCCAGTGCTCAAGTCAGTCTCGCCAAACGAGGCCCGTGAGATATGAACGAGCCAGCAACTGACCTGCCAGTCGCGCTGCTGCAGGGCACGGGCGCTGCTCTCGTGGCCATAACGCTTAGCGCGCCGCTGGCGAGCACTGCCGGTGTTGCGGCGATCGCAGGTCCGCTGCGCCGTGTGCTTCCCGGCGCCGCATCTGTGCTGCACGCTTTTGCGGCCGGATGCCAGCGACTGCGTGCACGCGACAAGCTTTTCGTCGCATCGCACGCGATGACCACCTACGCGTGCGGCGACCTCCTCGTTCAGCTCGCGAGCCACACGGGAGGTGTTCTACACTCGTCCGCCGTTTCCCTGCATGCCGGGTCGCCCCACCACCGACAGTGCTGCGCCACCCAGGTGGGCCGATCTCCTATGCACCGCTGCGCACCGTACGTAATTCGGCCGCTGGGATCATCTCCGACGTGCGCGCCTCCCCCGGTCGCTCTAAGTATCGCGATATCACCGCGTCGAGTGTGTGATCAGGCGCTGCCCTTTTACTACTGGTCTTCGCTGCTTGCCGGGGTCGGCAGCACGACGGCGCGCGCTCTTAGCTGAGCCCGAGATTGTTGCCATGGCGGCGCCCTACTGGCATGCCGTTCCTCCCACAGCCCGACGCGCGAGAGCATACGCCATCCGGATTCCCATCGCCGCGCTATTCTCAGGCGTGGCTTCCGGAGATGTTGCGCAGCTCGCCCGCGGCGTTGATCGCGCTCAAGGCCCGCCCGTACCCCCACCGACCACCATCATACTGCTTTTCCTAGGAGCGTGCGCGTATGCCCACATCAGGTGGCACTCCACATCGTGCTCTTCCAGACCGTTTCCAACGCCCTCTATCTCGCCTCGCACGCGCTGCTGTCTCGCTCCGGTGTCTCGTGTGCCGCCGGCGTGGCGTGAATGTAGGCTTCACGCTGGGGTCGCTCCTCGTCACGAGCGCATCTGCCCCTCTTCTGGCTTCATTGGGATGCGAGGTCCGTCTGCACCCGCTCCCTCCACTCTGCGTTGGGATGTCAGGTACTGCGTAGCTCTTCCGTTGTGGAGGCACGCGACTCCAGACTGACCCTTTACGCGCCAATGTATCACACCTCACGGTGCTGATGCTTGGTTCATGTGGAGAAGCCGAGATAAACTAGTCCGCCGATAACGATTGGGGTGGGGGCCCCAACTCGTGGTAGGCCACTAGTTTATCGTAGGGTACTCACGGATACCTCTCCTGAGTCCCTCTCGTGTGCCCCCTCGCGCACATCGCATGCGGTCTTCACTCAGCCTCCGCTGCTGTGAACACCAAACTTGCACTTCAGCTGGTGCGCGCTTTCGCCGCCTACTTTCGCGAGCGCGCTTGGCCCTTGCTCCTCATGCGCGGCGCTCTCGCTGCGCTCTCTCCCTGCTCATGGGACCTGATGCCGCGCCACCTCTGTGGCCGCTCCATCCTCTCTGACGGCGCCAGCCCTCCGGCTGCGCCATCTCTCTTTGGTTCCCACCCACCCTCTCCTTGGTGGCATGCTAAGCTCTCACGCTATCATGGGATCCACCGTGGCTCTCACGGCGAAGTCAGCTCGAGCCTCTGCTCGCGTAATGGGTCCTGTCGTCGGCCCATCTTACCTCTCCCCCCTCTTTATGCGGGGGAGACTCCCGCGTCGTTTACGCGGCGGTAGGTGCTCCACGTGTGGTGAGCTCCACCTCTCTCTCTACTTGGTCTGAGGTGCGAACCCTTACGGCGCCGCGGCCGGCTGCAGGACGTTGAGGTTACCTCCGGACCTGCAGTTCGTCCAAGCTGTTTGAGTCCCAACCCTCCGCCTTTAGTGGCAAGACCCCGGGGGATGTCAGGTACTGCGTAGCTCTTCCGTTGTGGAGGCACGCGACTCCAGACTGACCCTTTACGCGCCAATGTATCACACCTCACGGTGCTGATGCTTGGTTCATGTGGAGAAGCCGAGATAAACTAGTCAAGTCAGTCTCGCCAAACGAGGCCCGTGAGATATGAACGAGCCAGCAACTGACCTGCCAGTCGCGCTGCTGCAGGGCACGGGCGCTGCTCTCGTGGCCATAACGCTTAGCGCGCCGCTGGCGAGCACTGCCGGTGTTGCGGCGATCGCAGGTCCGCTGCGCCGTGTGCTTCCCGGCGCCGCATCTGTGCTGCACGCTTTTGCGGCCGGATGCCAGCGACTGCGTGCACGCGACAAGCTTTTCGTCGCATCGCACGCGATGACCACCTACGCGTGCGGCGACCTCCTCGTTCAGCTCGCGAGCCACACGGGAGGTGTTCTACACTCGTCCGCCGTTTCCCTGCATGCCGGGTCGCCCCACCACCGACAGTGCTGCGCCACCCAGGTGGGCCGATCTCCTATGCACCGCTGCGCACCGTACGTAATTCGGCCGCTGGGATCATCTCCGACGTGCGCGCCTCCCCCGGTCGCTCTAAGTATCGCGATATCACCGCGTCGAGTGTGTGATCAGGCGCTGCCCTTTTACTACTGGTCTTCGCTGCTTGCCGGGGTCGGCAGCACGACGGCGCGCGCTCTTAGCTGAGCCCGAGATTGTTGCCATGGCGGCGCCCTACTGGCATGCCGTTCCTCCCACAGCCCGACGCGCGAGAGCATACGCCATCCGGATTCCCATCGCCGCGCTATTCTCAGGCGTGGCTTCCGGAGATGTTGCGCAGCTCGCCCGCGGCGTTGATCGCGCTCAAGGCCCGCCCGTACCCCCACCGACCACCATCATACTGCTTTTCCTAGGAGCGTGCGCGTATGCCCACATCAGGTGGCACTCCACATCGTGCTCTTCCAGACCGTTTCCAACGCCCTCTATCTCGCCTCGCACGCGCTGCTGTCTCGCTCCGGTTGGCGTGGCGCCGTCACACGGTGCCAATCGCGTTGACGCAGATGTCACGCCCCCCCCCCCCCATCCACCCCCCCCCCCCCTCTGCAGGGTGCGTCGCTCACTCTGGCAGACGTGCCTTGTCGCCGCGGTCAGTTTTGGCATCGGCGGGCCACTCGTCTACATGCTGCCCTCAGTCTTGCTACAGTCTGCCCTCCGCAACGTCGGCGTCCTCGGGTTCTCAAGCTACCTCGCACTCGTCGCAAACAGTGGCTGAGGAGGCGAGTAGGCCCAAGGCGCTTACTGGCCAGCGGGCGTGAGGGCGGGACCGCGCGCTAACCGTTCAGCGCGCATTGGAGAGAGATCAGAGAAGTGTGAAGTGTGGGGGAGCGCGCCAGGGTTTTTCCATTTTCGTGCCTGATGCGTCTTGTTGCGTGTACTCCGCAACGTGTACCCTGCAACGTGTACCCGGCTTTGTACGTGTGGTCGGGATAAAGCTAAACCAGGTGCCTTCTGCGCCGGCGCGCGGGCCGCTGTGAGGGGTGTCTCTCGTCGAGTCTGCGGGGGGGGGGGCCCGCTGGGCCCCGGGGCCCCCGCTATTTTTTTCTCATTTCACATAATACGATTTGGATCAAACACCTTTCACAAATGACAAAAGTATCAGGTGCGCCGCACCGTGGCGCGTGGGCACACAGTACACAACACGAGACACATGACACATTATCCGGAGTATGCACCACACTCCATGGTCTCCCACGCGCCGCTCGTGCGGCGTCATTTCACATGTACATGTGTATGCACTCTTGCAAGCCTCCTCGGCCCGAGTCAAATGCTATTGCATGGCCGTAAATATGTGCCAGGTGCGTACGAATGATAACTTAATACGGCACCCGCGGGCCGCTGCCTGCTCACCGCAAGCCCTAAAGATGCTATAGCCGCGCATGTCAGCAGCGCAGCGCCTGCTTCTTCTCTCGCATTTTAGTCCGCCAGACGCAGTAGGTCTTGAGCTGTAGCACAAACCACATGCCGAGCAGGAGGTAGAGCGAGTACAGGTCTGCCTCGTGGCCGAGTAGTTCGACGTCGTGGACAATAGGAATTGGGCCCGATCGCATCCCAAAGAGAGAAGTCACAATGGTCACAACCATCAAATACAGGCACTGCTCGCCAATGTAACGGTCAAGAAGCGTCAAGTAGCTCACCGCGGGAACCATCGCGGTAATCGCCAACTTGTAGGCAGCCGCCGTTAGGAGCAACGCGAGCTGTGTCGCGATGCGGTCGCTCGGTTCGGCCATGGTGAAGGCGGTGGCGATCGAGAGGAAGGAGATCATCCCCATCGGAGCGACGACGTTGTACAAGAAATAGCCGCATTGCCGCCTTACGGTGCACGTGATCGCGATCGCCGGGTACCTGTTTGCTTCACTGCCTGCGATGCGCTTGATCCCTGAGTGTGCGAAGGCCGTGGCTTTCGGCGGGAAGGGCGCGAGGTCGTACTCATTCTTGAGGTTGAAGGCCTCGCGGTCGATCGAACTAACCATATCGGGTGAGAGCTCCAGCTTCACCGGAAACGGACTTGCGCCAATGGCGCATTGTATCTCGACCTGGAGAGTTAGCTCCTGCACGTCGAGGGGGAACTCCTGCAGCTCCATGATTTCTTGAAATTCGCCCTCGAACCTGAGGATGCACATCAGGTCGTCCCCCCGACGCAGAACCTTGCGCTCCTTGAAGTCGCTCGCGTCTACCGGTTTGTTGGAGTTGATGAGGCGGAATTGATCCGTGAGGTACCAGAGGACGCTTGGCACCACGGGACACTCCGCGTTGTCCTCCTCGGTCATAGTGTTTTCAACCAAGCCGTCAAAGCCACGCTTGTAGAAGCGGGTGTCAAGTGCACCGCCGGGAGCGCGAAGTTCCATGTAGTATTGGGCGATGAACACCTGCTCTGCAATCAATATGTGCTTGATCTTGACAAACACCCTTTGCAACAGGAATATCCGCTCGGGGGCCAGCGCTTTCCGAGTGGGTGCGACACTCTCTTGCCGAACGCGCTGTGGCCACAGCCGGCCGGCGTCCCCGGGCGGAATCTCGCCGGGACCATTCCTACGTCGATCCCCCGCATCGGCGACAGCACCGCCACCGGCACCCCGCATAGCACGGCAACCAGCAGATCTGCTCTGTGCAGAATTAGGGAAAGAAGCGGCATTGTCCGGCTGCAGGTACGTTTCCGGAAGGCGCGCCCAATCGGGTGTCCTCTGGCGTGCGCCGTGGTCGGACGACGAAGATGCCGCGACTGGTGGCGGGGCGTGGGTCGCCGCCGCCATGTGTGTGGTTGAGCCGCGTCCGTCCTCTTGGCCGGAGAATCTTACAACAAAACTCCCTCGCACAACACTGGGCACGGGACTGGCGCGCACTGGCACTAACACAGGCCGGAGAAAAGACAAACTCAGCTTCTTAGCTCCAAGATTCTTAGCTCCCCGGCCCTGGATGTGCGGTTACTGACTGCACTCCAAGTGCTCCAAGTGCTCAGTACGGGGCTAGGGCTCTCTTGCCCGCAACCCGATCCTGATCATCCGGCCCGCTGGGTGCGCTTCTCAGCTCCCCGGCCCTGGATGTGAGGCTACTAACCGCACTCCAAGTGCTCCAAGTGCTCCAAGTACCAGGGTAGTCAGTGTTACACCCTCACCCGGGGAGTCGGGCGCGGGATCGCCGGAGGCGGAGTCAACAGGATCAAGCAGAGAAGACGAGACGGCGGCGGGGCCGCAGCCGAAAAAGGCTAGGAGGGGAGGTCGGGCCCCGCGCCCGTCGCACAACTATCGGGATGCGACCAGAAGGAAGGACCGAGAGGTGGGGGAAGACGCCACGGAGTGAAAGTTGGGAGACCACGAAGAGGGGTCCGGTGTGGTGAGGTGCCGGGTGTGGATGGGCGTCGAGTCCGTGTCGAGTGTTTACTAGCTCCGAGTAGAGGGGGCGTTCTGCTGCTAGGGGAAACCTGGAGCGCGGAGCTAACCCTCGGATACCCGTGTTTACTTTACGGCCCGCCTTTCCCTGCGAACGGCGAACGCGCACCCCCCCTAGCTAGGTGGGTCAGGGCTCTCTAGCCCGTAGCCCGATGCCGATCATCCGGCTCGCTGGGTGCGCTTCTTAGCTCCCCGGCCCTGGATGTGAGGTTAATGACTGCACTCCAAGTGCTCCAAGTTACACACCTCCTAGCATGGAGGACGGGCCCACACGCACACACACGCTGCACACGATTGGCTCGGGAGCCGACACGAGGCACACTGTCACCGGCTGTAGCACCGGGTCCGGACTGCTGGACACACAGCACACAGGTCACACCGACTCACAGGTACGGGGTGTGGACCGTGAGTTGACCAGGGGTTGTGCGCCGGGCCCTCCTGCTCGGCTCCAGCCAGTAGACAAGTCTTGTCACTAACAGAGTAGAAGGATCTGACCTCGGGGCCGATGTGACCAAGCGCTGGTAGCGTGGTTTTACCTCACACCCATGGTCTCACAGTGTGCCGGCAGTCGCCGAGCAGTGTCGCTCACACAAGCCGCAGCACAAGTGACTGAGGGCCAGTGAGGGCGAGCCCATCGCTGTCACAGCTGTGGTAGCCGCACAGTAGGCTGTGTCAACTGTGCAGAGCGTGTGAGCAGCCGAGGAGCTGCTCTCCAGGCTTCTGACGCAAAGAGCTGCATGCCATCGAAGGCGCTGTCGAGGTTCGCCGAGCGCGGCGCAGGTTGGAGGACACCGTCACCGACGAGCGCGTTGGACTTTTCACTCCGGACAAAAACGCGGCACAGCGGACGGTGCGGGGCGTGCCGCAAACTTAGCGGCGAGGCGCGGGACCGTCTGTGGCGAAGTGGGTCGCGTCCTCCGATTTCCTCAACTCACGGTCCGCTCCCTCTACAGCACACAGGAGTCAGGACAGCTCACCGAGGAGCGAGGTGGCGCTATGTAGTGGGGTTCTCATGGGACTGAGTGCTCTGCAAAAACAATTGAAAAAAGGGCGGTTAATCCAAACCGTAAAATAGGCCAGAAAAAGCCCCGCTGCAGCCGGGCGAGAGGCGAACGCCGAGATCGCGGGTACAGGTATGGCCCTCCCCTTTTAAGGCCTGCAACCCTGTGCCTGTCTGCCGACGCAAGTCCATCAGCAGGGGTCCGGCGGCGGCGGCGGCGGCGGCGGCGGCGGCGGCGGCGGCGGCGGCGGCGGCGGCGGCGGCGGTGGCGGCGGTGGCGGCGCCTCGGGCGCGGGGGGGGGCGGCTCGTGCCCGGGAGGCTGCGCCAAGGCCAGCGCTTCGCATCGCGGCTGCACGGGCGCCGGGCCAGGCGGCGCGCCCAAGTACCCACACCCGCCGCCGTAGTGGCCGGGGTAGGCTGCGCCCTGCCAGCCGGCCCCGGTCCCATAGTGGCCCTGCCAGCCGGCCCCGCCGCCGTAGTGGCCATCGTAGGCTCCGTAGTAGCCTGGGTAGGCTCCGCCCTGCCAGCCGGGGCCGGCGCCACCGTGATAGCCGTACCCATGCGGTGGCGGGTACCCGTGCGGTTGCGGGTACCCGTGCGCCGAGCCCCGAGGCGGATGCCCGGGTGGCGGCGCAGGGTGTGTGTGCCCGTGCGGTGGCGCGGCGCTGCTGCCATCGGCACTTGCCGGCGGTCTCCGCGCCGCCTCATCGGTAGAGGAGGGAACAGCGGGACCGGCGCCGTTTGCAGCTGCAAGCGCAGGTGGCGGCAGCCCGGGCGGCGGCTTGGGCCCTCGCTTTTCGAAATCGTCACGAACCGCCTGCGCGCACGGGAGGGGGGGGGGGGGGGTTCTGGCAATCGGTCGATGCGAGCAAAGGGAGGAGGCCCCCCTCGCTCCAGGGCACTCCTCGCCCCTCCGAGACGGCCCATCACCCGCCACACACCTTGACGAGCGACTCGGCCAGCGTCCGTCCGAGCTCGAGCGCCTCCGGGCTTGGAGCCTGCCGGGGAGCCACGCACGGGTGAGCGGTGGTATCCCCAGCGTCTGCCAGCCTCTCTCGACTCTAGCCTCTCTCTCCGCACCGACCCCCGCCACTATGCATCACTGACCGAGATCGAGATGTGGAGGGGCCGCGTGTCGAGGCCGCCGTCCACGGTGCTGCATCCCTTGCCGGAAAGCTGCACGCGGCAGCCCGACCGCTCCTGGATGTGTTTCAGGTAGGCGCCCCTCGGCCCAAGCAGCTTCCCTCGGAGCTGGTAGCCAGTGCACGTCACGTCGAGCCCAACATCCACGTCGCAATGCAGCACACCGCCCGCCGCGGCGCTCGCCGCGCCTCCCACCGTCGCCGCGGAGCCCGCCAGCGCCGCTGCCGCCGCCGCGGCGGGGTCGCAGGTGCCGCCACCATTTGAGTACCCGGGCGCCGGCTCTGGCGGAGGGCCCATGAGCTCGCGCAAGATCGCCTCTGCCCGTTCGATCGCCTCCTGTGTGTCCGCCTCGAGGTGCAGGTGCAGCGGCCGCTCGTCGGTCGACGTGTCGCCCGGCGGCTTATACCGCCCACGAATCACGATCGACGCCCCGGTTTGCGACGTGACCTCCTCGTGCGTCTGTTTGCGCGTGAGGGCGCCCTTCGTCTTGCAGTCGTTGATGTCGATGTCCAGAAACGGCCGCCCGGCGAGCAGCCCCGAGGCGACACCTCCGCCGCCTCCGCCGCCACCGACCAGGCCGGGGAGCCGGAGGCTCGCCACCGCCGCCGCCGCCGCCGCCGCCGCTGCGGCGGCGACACGAGCCGCCTCCTCGGGATTGGACGCGGCGGGCGCCTGCGCCTGCGGGGCGGCGGGCGCGGCCTCCGCCGGCGCGGCGGCTCCCCAGCGCCTACGCTTGCGAGGCTGCTCTGCACCGGGATCAGCAGCGGTCGGCTCCATGGACACGTTAGGAAAAAAGAAACGGCCAGCGGAAAGAAACGGGCGCCCTCCCACACACAACACTGGGCACGGGGAAGACTAACGCGCCGCGCGCATGTAAGATACTCGCACATTAGATTCATTACAGAGAGAGAGAGCTTCCGAGCTCTCACGCCGCGAGTAGGGCCCTTAGGGGCCTAGAGAACACAACCCCCTCTCCCTTTCCTCCCAGTAAGCTAAAAGTACATACACAGCGGGAAAGAATTGATTCGAGGCGAAAGAATGAGATCAAAGTATATTTACATCGAAAAGAGTTGCGAGCGCCATACAGACCTCGCGCACGCAGATTTTTTTACCGCTGCACGCTCGCACAGTGGGCAAAAAGTTGAGCAGGAAAAAGATTGAGCAGGAAGGATGAGCTCGTAGGTAGGCGGTAGAGAACGCACGCAGCCACAGTCCTGTCGGCAACAACAAAACACAAGTCGGCTGTCGGGGGCGGCCCGCGCGACGCTTGAGGCGAGATAGCTTCGAGCCCCTGGTATTGGTTCCCTGGGAAACATTCAAATTCTGCCGCGCGCGCGCGCGCACGCGCGCGTGTGTGTGTGTGTGCTACTCATGGAGGCAACCGATGCGAGTCGACTGGTGTGTGTCGTCGTGGTTTCGTTCCTTCAAGAACGCCTGACTGAGGGAGGGTGTAGAGGATGTAGAAGGTAAGCGCTGTAGAGCTAGAGATGTACAGCGCTCTGCCTCTGGAGCGCTGTAGAGCTCTTGGTACCCCTAGATAGGCTTAAAAGGGTGGGCCCTGGGGCGCCTGCGGCTTAAACGGCTTAAAACCTGCCATGGCAGGTTTTAAGAGCTGCTGGGCCGCCGATTCCTTAAACGGTCTTAAACGCTTAAACGGTGCGGGAGAGTTCCCGAGGTCGATGGTCCGGGAGGCTCCCCCCTCCCCGGTAGACGCCGGAGGCCGGGAGAAGCTGGCTACAGTCAGCTGGCACGCGTCCCCTATGCGAGTATGGCTCCTGCCAGTGCACCAGACTTACAGATGTGTCTTCAGTGGCGGGTTTGTGCCTATTAACGGCAGTATTGGAGAAACCGGCGCGGACCCCAGCGACGCGTGCCGGTGAGGCCGATTTTCTTAAACGGACTTAAAAGAGGGACGCCCCCCGTGCCTGCAATCTCTTAAATGACAATTTGAGCCCCCAAACCTCCTCATTTCTTAAAAGGTCTTAAAACAATCCGGCCCTCAGAACCCTAGGGGTACCCTAAGGTAGAGCTGTACAGCTCGAGTCACAGTCTGATGATGTGCTGGCACTGGTTCTGTACATTTCTTACGCCCGGCCACAAGCCATCCGGGCTGTGAAAAGTAACGTGAAAAGCTTGCTGTCTCGCCCTTCTCGACTGTCTGTGCTTGTGCGTCTTGGGTCCGGGGTCGTGCCGCGTTTATGTGTCAGCTTGCTGCCATCTGTCCCGATCGTGACCAACCAAAGCCCCCCCTCTTCTGAGATCCGTGCTTGCACCGATCCTGAATCGTCCACCGCTCCCCAGCCGTGCTCGCCGAACATCAGCCGCCGCCGCCGACGACGCGCCGACAACTCCTGAAAAGGCAGGCATCAAATGTCGAGGACGGAGAGCATTGCGAGAATCGTACCAAACTCGGTCAGGGGTGGTGAAGAGATGTAGGACCTTCCTTAGGTCCGCCTCTCACACCCTCACTGTCTGCGATGTGAGCATGTGAGCTTCTTGTTTCCTATCAACCTATCTGTGAAAAGCTTGCGAGCAGCGAGTGGGAGAGGCGCGGCGCTTGGACTACGAGCTTACTTCCTCTTGATCACAGCGGGAGCAGGCGGACATCGCTTCCAAGGGGGGGGGTGCTTCTCTCCACACCACATGCTAGGGGGGGGGGTCGTGGAGGACCCCCCCAGAGACTCGTGGTCAGCCCTCCGGGCCCTTGATTTTACGCCTCATTTCGCAGCATTTTCGAGGGGAAAATCACCCTTTGGAGCTACATGAGCCTTCAGACTGGTCAGATTCTCCAAGAATTGGACTTTCAGCCACGATTTCACAACTTTGGGGGCAAAAATCGGCTCTCTGGCGGCTATTCCTAGCCCACGAACTGCTGGGGGGTGCCTACCACATGCTAGGGGGGGGGGGTCCGACCCCCCCAGAGGCTTCACCACATGCTAGGGGGGGGGTCCCGACCCCCCCAGAGGCTTCACCACATGCTAGGGGGGCGGGCCCGGGCGGGGCCGGTTCGGGCCCGGCAGGGGCACCGGCGGGCCCCGGCCGGGTCAAAAGTGGCCGCTCCCGGGCCGCCGAGCGTGCTTTAGCCGGGCCGGTTTTCTCCTCGCCGGGCCCGCCTCGCGCAAAACGGGCCCGGCAAACCGCCTTCCTGCCCGGGCTCGGCTGTGAGTGAGCGGGCCGGCCTATGTGCCGCAGACGGGCCCGGGCAGGACGGTTTGCCGGGCCCGTTTTCTCCTCGCCGGGCCCGCCTCGCTCCTCGACCTGCTGATTTGGGCGCTTCGGCCCGGGAGTGGCAAGCCGGGCCCGGCAAAGCGCGCGGGCCGGGCCCGGGAGGGGCAAGCCGGGCCCGGCGCCCCACTTTGCAAATCGACCCGATTCCCATCCAATATCTCCCACTCGGCCGCGGAGGCCCCAACTGAGAGCGGGGCCCGGGGGAGGGGGTCCCTACTGGTCGTGCCCACCCCTCGCACGACCCCGGGCGACAGCGGGGGACCCCTGGACGAGGGGCGACTGCGATGGCCGAGGTGGAGGACGAGGTTGACTACGAGGACGACGCCGACGCCACCGTCGGCTGCAGCGCCGGTGGCGGAACGGGCGCTGCTGCCCTGAGCGTTGACGCGGCTGACGGTGGCACTGATGGCAAGACGGAGCTGAAGGATCGGCACACAGCGAAGGGTCGTGACAAGGCGGATCGAGACCGCGATGACGATCAGGCCAAGCGCGACGAGGGTGGGCGCGGAGCGGGCCGCGTAGAGGCGCGGGGCGCGAGAGACGCCCGGCGGGGTGGTGAAGCTGCGTCGGGAGGGCGGAGGGAGGCGGCGCGTGGCAACGGCGGGGGCGCAGTTGGCGATCGCGACCGGCGTGTCCGGCGGCGCGACGATGAGCGCGGCGGCGAGCGCGGCGGCGAGCGCGGCGGCGAGCGCGGCGGCGAGCGCGGCGGCGAGCGCGGCGGCGAGCGCGATCGGCGAGGCGGCGCCAGGGATAGGCAGCGCTCTCGCGAGAGGGGCGGGCGTCGGTCGCGCTCTCCGCGGAAGCGCGAAAGTGGCGGCGGCGGGCGGGCACGCCGCTCTCGGTCGCCGCGCTCGAGGGAGAAGGGGCGCGCCACGGCATCGCCACCAGCGAACAAGCCGAGGGACCTGCGCGACTCTCTGCGTGACAAGGTGAGCGCGTAGTTGGTGGTGGAAGAAGGGCGCAACCGGCAGCGGTGCTGGGCAGGCAGGCTCGAGGCAGTAGGCGCTTGCAAAAGAAGGGAGGGACGGGTGGTGTGGAATTGTGGTGGGTGTGGGTGGGATTGGGGAGGCTCACCGCTCGCTTCAGGCCGCTCGCTTTAGGCTCGCCTACCATGTGTCTAGGAACGCGAGAGGGAAGCCGACCGGGACAAGGAGCGCGACAGGGAGAGGGACAAGGGAAAGGCCCGCGACGGCGGGCGGGAGGGGGGGCGGGCCTCTCGAAACGACGCGAGGGGCGGCGGGCGCCGCTCCCGCTCCCGTTCCGCACGCCGGTCTCGCTCTGCGGCTCGCCGCGGTATGGGCGCGCAGCCGTTTCCGTAGAACGCTCCCAGCACGAACGCGCCAATGCTATGCCCGGCCACCTTGGGTGCTTGGGGAGGACGAGCCGCGATGCAATCTCACTGAGATGCCACCGAGCAGGCCGCCGTTCGCGCTCGGGCCGCAGAGGAGGCTCCTCTCGCCGCTCGCGCAGCTCGAGCGACCGTTCGGGAGGCAGGGGCAGGCGGGGCGACACCGCCGCCGCCACGGCAGAGGAGCGCGATGACGGGACAGATGTGTGCCGCGTGAGCGTCAGTATCTCATCGGCTACGGTATTACAGGCGGGTGGCCGAGACGTAGACGGTGGCGGCGGGCCCGCGTCGGCGGAGGGCAAGGCGGGGAGGGCGCGAGAGGGCGAGAGGGCGAGTGGCGTCAAGCGGTGCGGCGGCCGCGGACGCGGGATGCCTCGCGAGGTTGGCGATTCGGAGAGAGTAGGGTTCCCGCGATCCTAGGCGCGACAGCAGCGGCTGGGAGGCGGAGCCGCCGGCCAAGCAGAGCCGGGTCGAGAGCCCTGGCGCCCGCGGCGGCGGCGGCGGCGGCGGCGGCGGTTCGCAGTGGGACGGGCGGTGGGCCCAGGGCGGCGGCGGGAAGGGCGGCGGCGGGAAGGGCGGCGGCGGCAAAGGCATGGGCGTTATGACGGGCGCGGTGGTCGAGGCACAGGTTCCATGACCAGGAGCCTTGCCCAGTAGGAGGCATGGGCATGGGCAAGGGCGACGGTCGGGGCGCCGAGGGGTTCGGCAAGGGCGGCGGTGGCAAAGGCGACGGGTGGGGCAAGGGTGGCAAGGGCGGCGGCAAGGGAGGTGGCAAGGGCGGAGGGAGGGGTGGGGCGCCGCACTTATCGTCCGGCATCCCGCCTCCTCCCATGGCGCCAAGCCGCCCGCCGCCGCCGCCGCCGCCACCTACCGCTGCGCCGCCACCAATTTCGTTCGATCGGCCGGCGCTCGTCAAGGCGGGGAACAGCGTCGCTGCAGTCCTCGCGGCCGTTCCCATCTCTCCACGCTTCGCTGCGCGCGCTGTCATCGACGCGCTCGCAAAGGTTCGCCGAGATTTGCCGAGATCTGGGGGAGGGCCTTGCGACGCGCACGTCGGTTCCCGCTCGCAACCTCCCGTCCTTGCCTCAGGCGCGCGGAGCGCCCGAGGTTGTGCCTGCCAGGGCAGCCGAGGCGACACAGCGGCCGCACGCCGTTCCGTCGCGATGCCCCCTTGACGCGGCGCCCGCGAGAGCTGTAGGCGCGGCCGTGGGAGCGCGCCGCCGCCCTTGCGCTCTTCCCCGACGCGGAGCTCGCCGCGTACGTCGCTGACGGCCGCGCCAGGCTAGGCATCCAGGTGCCCGCCACTCGTGTCGATGCCGCGAAGGCTTCTCCTCTGTATGTGCACTGCGACCCGTCTCTTGAATAGGCCGGTGGCGACGGGGAAGACGACCTCGCCCGCCGCGCCCGGCTCCTCCTCGCGGACCCCGCAGGTTTGCAGGCGGCGTGAGTGTAATGGGGAGCGATAACCGGAGAATCTCGCGGAGGCCAACGCGGGTCTTCCGATCTCTGCCCCCCCCCCCCCCCCCCTCTCCCTCGCTCGCTCTCGCGCCGGGCACCGCCTCCGCGGGAGACCAAAGCTCCCCTCCTCCTGGGACTCGTGGCGAGTACACTTTTCACTGGCAGGGGGGGGGGGGGTCCGCCTGCTTTTCGCTGCACATGCTGAAGCCGCCAGGCGCTGTGAATAGCAGGCGTGGTCTGTACCCTGCTGCCTCCTCCTCCTCTCTGCCTGAAAAAGAATTCTCGACCGTGATCCTTGTTCGTTGTTGCGGGAAAAAGAATTTTCCGATTTTTTTTCAAGCTTCGAGAGATCTCGGCTGATGTATACAAGCGACATCGGATCGATCGAGCACGAACGAGCGTACTACCGACCCCCGTTTTCGGCCGTCGCGGCCGGAGAGCACCCCCGTCGCCCCCCGGGGCCCGTCGACACCCCAGGAACGGGCTGCAACAAAGGCAAGCTCGTTGCTGGGTGTGCAGCCGCCATCCATCTGCTGCTGCTCAGAGCACTCGTTTGACGTACGGACCGACCTTCGTCAGCCTCGTGCCAGGCGTCGAGACGCAAGAAAAAAATTCTGATCTGACGTTCAACGCGAGTAGGGGTCAAGGACCGGGCGTTGAACCCAGTCCTTGTGACCGACAGAGGTAGGTCCCACCGGACGGACCGCTCAGCTCCTCCGTGTCGGGCCGTGGTAAAGTTTTGTGAGATGGACTGCCGCTGGCGCTCGCTCGGTGTAACACGACGGAGGACACCTCTGGCTCGATGACGGATCACTCAAATCACGCAATTCTCACACCCCAAGTAGCTAGGAGGGATCTCTTGCCGCTGGAGGTGAGCTTGCTCCTCACTGGGCGGGCAGCAGCGCACGCACACGCACAATACGGCTGCATGACGCACTGCAACAGTATCTTCCCCAGTGCGCCATGTGCTCACTTTCCACCTTTCTCACTTGTGCTGCGGTGTGCGCACAGATTCACTGCCGTTTGAGCGTAATGTGAGGAGATGAGAGGAAGCTTGCCGACGAGGTCCAGGGTGAACGTCGACGGCCGTCGAATCGACGTCTCCGTGGGTGACCACTTTCACATCCAGCACGGATGCCTTGTTGTCACAGCCACAAGTAGTCGAAATACGAAAAGAGGTCCGCCGCTCTAGCCGATTGTAGCCGGCTCAGCATAAGACACAGCGACGCGTCGTAAAAGTCTGTGAGTCCAACCCAGTCAGCTTCTAGGTATGAGGCCATAGCCGCGTCGAAGCTCGGCTCGTAGTCCGCGTCGTGCAAGGAGACGGACGGAGTGGGGACACTCTTGGCCTGATGTCATGGCGCGCGCCTGATAGTTCCAAGGCTCGTAGCATCCCTGCCAACGCTTACCCAGTGGGTGCATGTAGAAGTAGAGGCTGTTCTCGAGGTTCTCGAGGTGGATATCCTTTGGCCGCGTTGGGTAGCGAGGATCGATGTCGCTTGTCGGAGAGCCAAGGACAAACAAGCAGCGAAAAGCAGGCGGACCCCCCCCCTGCCAGGCTCTGTGAATAGCAGGCGTGGTCTGTACCCTGCTGCTGCAGCCTCCTCCTCTCTCTGAAAAAGAAAGAAAACAGACAACCCAGGGGAGGGATGGGAGAAGGCACGCCGCCACCACACAGGGATTTTAAGGAGAGGGGTGTGGTGCGCTAGCCGTCGCCCACCCTTGGGCCTCCGCCTCGCCACAATTCGCGGATTTCTTTTTCGACGCCCCGCTCTTCAAGCTTCGAGAGATCTCGGCTGATGTTCGCCCTCTCCTTCTCCCCGCTCGGCTGGAGCGCGACCGTTCGCGCGCCTGGCGCGGCCGCCGGCGCGGCCGCCCGCTTCGAGCGTCCGCTCGTCATGAACGAGGCGGCCGCCAAGGCAGCCTGGCTCGCCTCGCTCGACCAGCCTTCCTGGGGACCAAAGGCTGCCGCCGTTTCCGCCACCGCGGCCCCTGATGCAACCACGCCGTTTTCCGCCCAGTCCGAGGCGGCCGCCAAGGCTGCCTGGCTCGCATCGCTCGACAACGAGCCGTCGTGGCTGGGAGCGGCGACTCCAACGGCGGTGGCCAGCGGCGCGCCCCCGGCATCGCTGTCCGAGGCAGAGGCCAAGGCCCCCCCTCACCTCGTTCAAACCCGTCTCCGACGCGCACGATATCTCCATACCCACCCCCCAGCCATGAATAGGCCAAGTGGCTCGCCTCTCTCGACTCTGAGCCATCGTGGCTGGGCGGCGTGGGTTCTGGCACGCCCTTGTCCGAAGCGGCAGCGAAGGCTGCCTTCGCCTCTCCCTGCGCCGCCCGCTCTACGATAATTTAATCACGGTCCACGGAATACAGGCCAAGTGGTTGGCGAGCCTCGAGACGCAGCCTTCGTGGCTGAGCAAGGGGCCTGCGGCGGCGCCGGCGCCGGCCTTTGACGCTGCCCCGCCCCTCGCGGCGATGAGCGAGGACGCCGCAAAGGCTGCCTGGCTCGCATCGCTCGATTCGACCCCCTCCTGGCTAGGGAAGGGAAGTGCGGCGCCCGCGGCGGCCTCGGCGCCGGACATGAGCGGCAGCGTGGTGCCGACCAGCGTGGGCCTCTCGGAGGCGGACGCAAAGGTGGCCCAAGCAGCATCCCTCTTGTCTGAACCCAAAACTCCCCCGCAATCGTTCACCACGCTCCTCACTCCACTCTCATCGTCAAAATAGGCCAAGTGGCTCGCTAGCCTGGAGTCGCAGCCGTCGTGGGTTCGCAACTAGCCTTGCAGCGGGCGTGGGCCGATTGGCCTCCCTTGGCCGAAGCCGGTTTGGGCAAGATTCGGGATTCCTCCCTATCTGTTTGAGATGATCGCAATTGCATGAAGCGCCGAGCTGTGTCTGCTCCTCGCATGGCATTTCCGTGGATGGCCGGACCTTGCCGGACTCGGGGAGTGGGGCTGGCCCCCGCTGTCTGTCACTGTTTCCGACATTGCTGTGAGATATGTGTGTTGCTGTTCGGTGTTGGTCTTGGCAACACCAACAGGTCAGGCTGTTGGCTACATAGAACATACACAACGGCTAGGACGCTAGGATTCGGAGTCCCGCGGGTCGGACGCAAAAGGCCATTAATCACGAAAAAAAGAAGAATCACGGCCAGGCAGTCGGCGCACGGGCCTCGGGCGCACGGCCCACGCTCAAGCGTCAAGGAGAAGGACAAAGATCAAGCGCGGTATCTCCGGGGCCCGCTCTGGACCGAACGCACGAAGAGTGTCTAGATGAAGTCTCAAGGTCTCAACCGTCGACCAAAACGTATAGGGTATAGACAAAGGCAACGGCCGACGGGCCCGACGCGCGATCAGCGATCGGACCACACGTCGACAGAATGCGCATGCGGGACATACAAGATACATGCGCGCAGCGCGGCCGCGGGCACGGCGCGCACGGGGCACCGGCAGACCGCCGCCACAGCGGCGTGACGCATACGAGGCGGTGCGCCGGGGGCCTGCCTGGGGCGCTCGAGCGCAAGCGTCGGGCCTCTCGAGCATCCCTCGCGGGCGCGCGCGTACATGGTATCACGACCCGCGCCGCGCCGCCTCCCGGCGCTGCGGGGCGACTCAAGCTCGGAGCATTCGGGCCCGAGTCTGCGCACTGGCAGCCGTGCCCGACCGGTCGAGTGCGAACGGGCCCGCTGGCTCGACAGGGACGGCTCGCGGCGCCGGCAGCGCCCGCTTACTTTCCCTTTGGCCCTTTGCCGTGCTTCTTCTCCTCCTTCTCCATCTCGGCCATCATCTGCTCGAGCCCCGCCTGGCCGCCGAGGTGCTGGAGCATCTGCGGGTTCATCTTGTGCATCATCTGTGCCACGGTGGCGGCGTCCATGTTGTGCAAATCCTGCCCCGCCTTGCCCATCTTTTTGTTCTTCTTGATGGTCTTTTGCATCGTGGTCGCCATCAGCTTGAACTGGTCGAGCAGCTCGACCACCTCGAGCGGGTGGTGCCTACTCGCAGCGCGTCGCGACCTCTAGGACGAGGGGCGACGGCGAGCAGCGGAGGCTGGGGGGTCGCTGCCCCGATCCGCGGGCGATGCGGAGCACGCGCGACTGGGTGAGGCCTTTTGTGTCGTCCAGCTCGGCGTCCTACTCGCAGGCGCGCGGGGAGCGTGTGCGCCGGGGTCGGTGTGGGCTTGCGGGCGTGCAGAGCGGCTCGGCGCTCCGTCATCGAGTCCATCATGGTGAGCCACTTCTTGATCCGGGCTCCCGACTCGTGGAAGTCCAGCCCGCCCATCCCGGGGAACTGATTCATGATGTTCGAGAGCGGGCCCATCTTGAGCACCGCCTGGAACTGCTCCCGCATGTCGCGCAACGTCCAGTTGCCCTGCGTCAGCCGCTTCATCATCTCCGGCGCCTACGGGGCAAAGGTGCGGACGCATGAAACGTCTGCACGGACAGGGCACCATCGAAGGCCGCTCGGTGCCGGGCGCCTGCTTCTCCAGGTCCACGTCCGCGGCGCGCATCTTCTCCATCAGGCCTGTGGACGTGTCGGGGATGTGTCGTGGACATGTCACGGGCGGCGGCGCGCAGCTCTTCTCGACCAGACCCGCGATGTTGCCCTTGCCGAGCATGCGCGACACAAACGACTTGACCTCGAAGTCCTCGAAGTCCTCGACGTGCTCGCCCGTGCCGATGTGCCTACCAGCGCGGCGTCGACAGGTGAGGGCCGCGGCGTGTGGACTCGCCCGCGCGGCGACATAATCACACACGTGATTGGAGCGCCGGTCGCCGCCACCGCAGAAAGCGCCCCGCCACCCTTGGCGTGGCCGTCCAGCTTGGTGATGATGACGGAGCCGACCGCGACCTTCTTCTTAAAGGCGCTCGCCTGCTCGTGTGCCGCCTGCCCGATGGACGAGTCCATGACGAATATGACCTAGGCGGGAGACGCGGACCCGGGTGGGAAGGAGAGACACCACGAACGGGCGAAAGCTCCGTCGTGAGACCTCGTCCGGCGCGACGGCGTCCGACACCTGCTGCATCTCCTCGAAGAGCGCGGCCTCCTGCACGCGTCAGGGCTTGGGGGTGGGTTGGTTGGGCACCAGGGAGGGTGGGCAAGGGCGGGCGAGTCGCGACGCTTGGGGGTCCGGGGCGCCGCGAGGAGGCACTATAAGCGCGAGCCTGCATGTGCCGCCCGCTCGTGTCCACGATGATGATCTCGTAGCCCTCCTCGCGGAACTTGGCGGTGCCCTCGGCGGCGATCTGGGCCGGGTCCGTCTCCGTGTACGAGCCGTAGAACGGGATCTTTGCCTTGGTGGCGTTCTGCTTGAGCTGATCGAAGGCGCCCGCGCGGAACGTGTCGGCGCAGACCAGGGCGCACTTGAAGCCCTTGCGCTTGTGCATGTAGGCGTACTTGGTGCAGGTGGTCGTCTTGCCCGCGCCCTGCAGCCCCACAAACATGATCACGTTGGCCTGCTTCTTCTTTGGCGCATACGGCTCCTTGCCCGGGTCGAGCATGGAGCACAGCTCGTTGCAGACGGCCTGCTCGAGCATCTTGCGCTTGTTCATGCCGGAGGCGAGGCTCTCGACGTCGACGTTCTTCTTGATGGACTCGCGCAGGTGCTTGACCTGCGCCACGTTGACGTCTGCCTGCAGGAGCGCCTTGCAGATCTCGGTGAGCATCTCGTTGAGGACGTCCTTGTCGACGAGCGGCGCCTGCGCCATCTTGCGCAGCGCGACGGCGACGCGCGAGCCGAGGTCAGCGAGCACCATCCTGCCTCAGCCCCCGTTGCTCCCCTCTCCGGGGCCTGGCGGGGGTGGGGCCTCTTTGCGGCACACAGCGAACAAAAGATTTTAGAACAAAAGATTTACCTCAGTTGCCCGGCGCTGCTTGCAGCACCATGGCGAGGGCGCTAAGAGGTTCCTCTTTTCCGCGCCCCCCCGCAAGGCGCGCGATACACACACCACCGAGTATGCCAGGAGTGAGTGCAGAAGAACGATGAGAGTGGGACGACCGCGAGGTGGCATGAAGGTTGCATGCAGCGAGAATCGGCGAGAGACTGCGAAAAGAGATACGAAGAGGCAGACTCCCTAGGGTGGGCGACGGCTAGCGCACCACACACCTCTCCTTAAAATCCCTGTGTGGTGGCGGCGTGCCGTCCTCCCATCCCTCCCTTGGGTTGTCTGTTTTCTTTCTTTCTTTCTTTCTGGACTGGAGGAGTGATTTTGAACGAGTGGGCGGTGCAGGATGTCTGTTTACAGGCGCCGTCCGCCCGCGCGCGCGCCGACCCAACTCCGAGCACGCTCGCTCGCCTGGCGGGGGTGGGGCTGTTGCGGCACAGGGAACAAAAGAATTTTAAACTGGCGGTCGCACGACACGATTCACGCGACAGGCGAGGCGCGGGCGACGGCTTCCTCAGAAGCCGTCGCCCGCACCACAGGAGCCCGACCCGAGCAACCCCGCCCCAACCCGACTAACCCGCGAGCCGCTCCCGGCTCCGCCCCCCGCCCAAGACCCACCCGCGCCTGTGCCTTGAGGTTGGTCTTGGACTTTGAGAAGGGCCGCGGCAGGAACGGGCTGCTTCTGCTCTTCTTCTGCATCGTCGGTCGGGGGGTCGGAGCGAGTGGGGGGCGCGAAAGGCAGAGAGGACGGTTTCACGGATCATGGATTAACCATAACCGGGCGGAGACCCCCGAGGAGCCACATGCACATGCACATGCACATGCATGTTTTGTGCATGTGCATGCGCGAAAAACAGCCCAAGACCGACTCGCGAGGTGGGGTGCTAGTACCGCCGAGGCGACAAAACACCTCTCTCCCGAGGCGCAGTTCTCTGTGCGCAGGCGGTTAGTTAGAGAGAGAGAGAGATTTTTAGCAATACCAACCAAACAACTCTAGTGGTTACTACACAGCAAAACTACGAGCATGGTAACGGGGGCTCGTTACCATGCTCGTAGTTTTGCTGTGTAACCCCGAGACACCCTTCGGAGCTTCGTTGGGAGAGAGATCTTTCTCGCCGATGCCTCGAGGTGTTGTTGATTGGCAAATCAAGACACAGAGCTCACACGAAAGCACACGACCGTATACCAACACAACCAATTGCCCGAAATCGCAGAGCTAAGTATATAAAAGAAATGACCGAGTAAAGTGGGCGCTTCGCTTCGTCGGCTCTTCCGTCAATGGACAACTCTTTGCTCGCCCAGATCCAGCGCGGGAGGGAGCTCAAGAAGACGGCGCCTCCTACAAGCCCCGCTCCTGCTCTGGGCAAGATCGTCGACACTGATATCTCCCATCGTCACGGCACCGACGATCGTGCTGCGACCACGCGGCCGCCTCCCGGCGGGATGTTTGCTGGCGGATTCCCCACGCTGCGAAAGGTTGGAGGGCCCGTGAGCGATCTGCGCCAGGCCACTGAGCCTCAGAAGCGCCCTCTGCCACCGCCGCCACACCCTCCAGCACCCAGTGCTACAGCGGCGAATCCGCGCGCGGCCCCCCGGCAGCCGCCACCCCTGCAGGACATCCTGTCCAAGCCTCTGCCACCAGCACAGCCAGCGCCGCCTCCATCCGCGCCGCAGAGGCCGCCGCTCCCACCGACCGCCGCAACCACACCGTCTGGCGCCTCGCCGCCGCCAAGGCCGACACTGCCACCGCGACCGCCACCGCCGCCACTGCCGGGCAGCGTGCCCTCGCTTGACACGTTACCCGTTCGCCGCGAGTCGTCTGAGCTCAGTGCTTTGCCGACAGAGCGCCGCGAGAAGCCTGCCGCCACCGCCGCGGGGACGACCACGCGCTACTCTCTCGGCTGGCCGCCGCCATCGTCGCTGCCGCCACCACCCAAGGCGTGCAGGGCAAAGAAGGTGTTCCCTTCCGCCGCCCTGCGGTGCGGTGAGAGTGCGAGCGCCAAGAACAGAGGCTCTCGAACTGCTCTCTCCACTCCTCCTCTGCCGCCTCGGCCAGGCGGTGGGCCACGAGGCGACGGTTGCGGCACTTTGAGCACCGCAGAGCCCCGCGCCATCTGCCCGCCTCCGCCGTTCAAGGCTGCAGAGCGGAGCCCGGCAAAGCCGCCGCCGCCGCCCCCACGGCCCCAAACACTTCCGTCGGGCGCTCCGGTGAGCGGCTCGCGGCCACAGCCCCCCAAGCCGCTCGGAAGTGGAGGCGGCGGAGGCGGCAGTGATGACGGCGCCGGCGGTGACGACGGTGGTGGCGTCGCGGGCGGCTGCGGTGAGGCGGGCGTCGCCCCGCTCCTCTCGCTGCAGGCGAAGCTCGGCGAGGCCAAGGCAGAGCCCAAGATCCGCCTGCCCCACTCCACTCTCTGCCCCCGTTGGACAATGCCCCTCCCCTCGCACCCCACCCAAGCCCGCTGAGGCCTCTCCGCCGCGCCGAGCATGCCTCGCGTGTGTGCGCACAGGCGCGCGCCGACTTTGAGGAGTGCATCCGGCTCCGCGATGCCATCGAAGAGGGCATCGCCACGCTCGAGGCGCGCAACGCCTCTCGGCCGCCCCCGCGCCATCACTGAGCATCACATCGATCTCGGCAGGCGGAAATGCACGCGGCGTCCGCCGCGGGCTGCTTCGAGAAGTGCATTGCCCTGCGGAACCAGCTCGACGTCCTGAAAGCCCCGAGCCGCGCGTGACGGCGGCGCTGGTGTGTTGTGGTGGTGGTGGGCGCGCGCCTCTGATCAATCACCCCGGTGCCCGGACGGGGGTGGATGTGCGCCATCGTCAAGTACTTCACCACGCCCCCGGCCAGGTTGCCAGGCGGCTCGACGGGGCGCCGACCCCGATGCAACCAACCGCGGAGCGCTCTCACGCCGATCCATGGCCTCGCGCCTCGCTCGGCTGCGCGCCGCGCCAAAGCCAACCCCAGGCTCCCAGGCAGGGGGCGGTGACGGTGCAACCCCACGTGCACGAATATCGTCATCGTTATAACTAATTCCTGGTCTAAGGACCAACATATTTGGCATGCGAACGTTGTGTCATAATCCGTCCGGGAGAGGGCGTGCACGTAAAACACAGATGAGATATGAGATGATGTGCAGAACACCGTAATAATTACGCCGTCATACATGGACATCTCTACGCAACATCGGAAGATCCTTGGACTGTAGATCGTAGATGCCTTTTAGAGATCTCTTAAGTGGCAAATCTCCTGCCAAGAGCAGCAGTAGATTGAAGAACTGGTGGAGGCAAATCTTCTCCGGTGTAGATGCTCGAGAGGAGTCTGAGATCTCGAGTTGGTGCGTGCAGTCGCTTGAGATCTTGCGACAGAGGTGGAGATTCTGACTTCGCGCCAAAGGCGCCTAGAGATCGTGTGGGCCGACTGGAGATTGCAAAATGGCGCGAAAAGAGGGTGGAGATCCTTTTGCATTGTGAATGAATCCATAGCGCATCTCCTTGAAGGTTTGAGCCCCCCTCCTCCCCCGGGCCCCCGAATCGAGATTGGGGATTGGAGATTGGAGATGGAGATCGGAGATCTGACTGAATCCGGCCTAAGATGACGACGTTGGAGATTGGTCGCCAGTAGATCCCTCCAGTCCGGTTCCCCATTCAAGACTAAAGAACGAAGATTGAGATTGTGGATTGCAGATCGCTGAGCAGCAACACGGGCCAAAATGTGGAGATAGGAGATGGAGAATGCAGATTGTAGATCCTAGCGCCCAGCCATCCGCCCCAGATGTGAGATCGAAGATTGAAAATGGAGGTCGTAGATTGCTGCCGGGATCGAACCACTCCGGGATGGGCAAGCCCATCGTTCTATAGTGTGTTGAAGACCGACGACCGCGCAGCCGTCTAGACGACGGCCACACACACACACACATAGTGTCCTTACCACCCCTGGACCACTGCATCTGCGCAGTTTCGTACCGCTGCGGCGCGGTTTTGCAAAACCGTTCTGCAGCGGCGCGGTTTTGCCCTTCACCCGCAGCCGTAGATCAATAGTCAGTAGGTAGGTAGGTAGAAAGGTGAAGAACAGCCAGGCTCGGACTGGACACCAACGCGGTATGGGTGGACGCTGGACAGATGATGACGACACGCACGAGCGACACACAGACACAAACAGGCTCACAAGACACACAGCCAGCTGGCTGCCACACACCCTGAGTCGGCGTACACATAACTCAGGGCCACATCCTCCCTGTCGCCCCCCCCAGCACTCCACGGTGCCAAGGGCACAAACAAGGGCACAACTCAAACAACAGACGACAGGAAGTGACATGTGAGGCTAGAGCAGCTTGCTCCACCTCTAGCAATCTCACCGGCCTGCGAGGCACGGACGAGACCGTATGTGGGGTCTAGTGAGGTGTCTATGGACGCCCTCCTCAGAGGCTAGCTGCCTACGGCTAGCCCTCCTCGCACTCACAGGCGATGACAATCCAATGTATGAGTGTATGCAAGCTGTCCATTGCCCAGTAAGAGAAAGAAAGAAAACTAGCCAGGTGGCGTCCTCGATGAGATCTTCGCTCCTGCTACTCGCCACGGCCTCGCTCGGCGGGGCTGCGCGCAGCCGCCTCGCGCTCGCCGGTCGCTCCGCCGCGTACCGCATCCGCGGCGGGGAGAGCGACGGCTCGCGGCCGTGGGGTGCGCCGCCCGGCGGAGCAGGCCCGCCGGGACAGGGCTTTCAAGGCTATCCTCCGCCGCCGGGTGAGGCCAGCCCGTGGGGTGGGCAGCATGCTCCGCAACAGCCTGCCGACTACCCGCCGCCACAGCAGCAGTACGGCTCCGCCCCGCCCGGATACGGCCCTCCGTCGCAGCAGCCTCCGCCTTCGCAGCATGGCGGCAGCAGCCCGCCGCCACAGCAGCAGCCGTACGGCGGAGGCGGCCCGCCGCAGCAGCAGTACGGCGCCGGACCGGACGCAGGCCCGTTTGGCAGCCCGTACGGCGGCGCCGGCGGGTATGGCGGAGCCGCGGGGGGGTACGGTGGCGCGGGTGGCTACGGCTATGGCGGCGCCCCGCCCTACGGGTACCCTCCCTACGGGGCGGGCTCCGGGGAGAAGGTGTCGGACCAGCTCAAGGGGTGGGGCAAGTCGATTCTAAAGAGCGTCGGGCTTGACGAGGCACGCCCTCGCGCGCACAGCCACGGCACCCCACAATAGCCCTCTGCGCCGAGCAACCGAGTTTCCCCAGCCCAACATCTTGAGCCCCGCCGCGCGTCCGCAGGAGAGCCGCAAGCGGGCAAAGGAGGAGGCAGCGCGCAAGGAAGCGGAGGTGCGCCGCGGACGCCCGCCTCCTCCGAGCGCGCTGCAAGCCCCCGATTCATCGGGGGTGCCCTCCTAGGCGCGGCGCGCGCAGATGCCCCTCTGGGCCGACCCTAGCTACGGCGGCGTGCAGCCGGGCAGCTACGGCGCGCCACCGGGCGGCGCGTACGGCGCTGGCGCGGGCTACGGCGGCGGGCCCTACGGCGGCGGCGGAGCGGGCGGCGCGCCATTCGGGTCGCCACCGCAAGACTACGGCGCCGGCGCTGCTGGGCCTGGCGGCGTCGGGGCTCCCCCTGCCGGCGGGTCCCCGTTTGGAGGAGGCGACGCGTACGCGGGAGCGTATGGTCAGCCGCCGCAGGCTGGCGCCGAGGTTGCGTCTCCGTGGGGCCAGCCGCCGCAGCAGCAGCAGCAGCAGCCACCGCTGCAGCAGCAGCAGCAGTCGCCGCCGTACGGGGCAGCGGCTCCGCCGCAGTACGGAGCGCCGCCGCCTCAGGGAGGCGCGTGGGGGGCGCCCCAGCCGGGCGCTCCTGCCGGTGCCCCTCCGCCGCAGCATCAGCCGCACGGCGGTGGCGGCCCGCCGACCCCCACGTCCGAGCAGGGCCCGCCGTCGCCGTCCCACGAGGCGCCCGGGTACGGCGGCGGCTGGGGCGCGCCGGCGGGTGCGTCGGCGGCGGCTGGGGAGGCGAGCACCGCCGCGCCCGACACGGAGCGGATGCAATAGCGGCGCTTGATCTGAGATCCGACATCGCGCAGAGCCCCACTCCCCCCACCCACCCACCCCCTAGCCCCACTCACCGCCTGTCCTCCTGCCCTCACACCCACTTCCTCACTACAAGCCTCACCACTGCCTGGCGCTTGCGCAGGAAAAGCCCGACAAGGACACAGGTGCCGCAGCAGCCGACGCCGCCTCGGACTCGCACTCGCCGCCACCGCCGCCGCGTCCTTCGTCGTGACGGGTCCTCGAGGTGGGCGGGTGGAGAGGGAAGCGTCGCGGGGGCGCACAGAAGAGGAACAGGGGCCGGGCTGGGGCTCCAGCCTCAAGCTCTACGCTGAGCTGGCATGAATCCCGGGGTGTTTGGGGGGGCGGGGAGGGGCTGACCGGTGCAGCCTGACGACTCTCGCCCGCAGAGTAGGGAACACCAAGGCGCGGCGTGTATTCCGAGACTAGTACTGACACACGCGTATGGAGTATATGGCCATCTCGGCTGCGCGCCGCGCCGCAGCGTGCCGGAGTCGCCTGCGACGTGCGCGAGCTCGGTCGGAAACGGGAAATTGGAAGGGTCTCGCTCTCGGTGTGCCTCGCGTTTTTTCAGTAAAAGAGGGTTCGCATTCAACTGTGTTGTGTGTACACCCAACACCGAGACACGGCGATAGAGGGTGCGCAGCGTCCTAATCTAAAATCTGAGGATTCAGGATTCAGGCATCGCTTCAGTGGGGCAAAAGTGAGTTTATGGATGTGTGAGAACGGTACGGGACGCGAGGAGTCACGCGGACCGACTCGTCGGTGACTCTGCTGCACGCCGTTTCAGAATTTTTCTCAGCGTGAGCGAGACGTGGAAGAGTGCCACCGTCGGGTAGGACGGGTCGGCCCGGCGCATCGGAGTAGCCATCGTGGTCGCGGCGAGCAGCGCCGGCCACTCCGGCGCCGCGTCGGCAACATGGGAGCATGTCCACCGCCACTTCGCGGTCGCAGCGCTGTTTGTCGCCCGAACGCCGCATATCCCTCTGGCGGGCCAAAGATCGCCTTGCATGTCGATTTTGACTCGACGGCGGCATGGAGGCATCACGTCTCCATGCCGCCGTGAAGTCGGAGCCAGTCTGCGGCGACCACAGCGCTCACCGCAGGGATATGCGAGCTTTTCAGAGTCAAGCGATTGCGCGAAATCCCACACTGGTGGATTATGCGGCGCTGCGCACCCCCTAACGGCGAGAGACCGAGAGACTCGCCCCCCCGGAGGCTCCTCCACCTCCTCCGCCGAATCCCGGCGTGCGCGGTCGTCGCGCGCGCGGGGCCCGTCGGCAGACATACCTCATACGGCTTTAGGACTTAGCTCTCTTAGGAGGATCTCGGGCCTCTGCATGGTGCGCCGCTCTGGGCACACTTACGTGCGCGGCTGGAGGCGTGGGGGTCGCGGGCGGCATATTGGTCGAGCACTGTGGGAGGTCCGTCGTGTGTAGATATGAGGTACATGGCTCATGGGAGGGTGACTTACAGTGGGGGCGGGTCTGCACTGGACTAGTACGAGGTGGCGGGGCCACAAAGAGGCGCGGGAAGCTGCGGTCTACTTGCTCTTCTTTTTCTGCCGGGCGAGGCAATCCTGCACGTAGCGCTCGACCTTGAGGAACGTGGCGAGGTCGAGCGTGTCGATGTCGATCTCCACCTCGGACGGATTGGTCGCGTCCAGCGCCTTCTTGCAGCTCTCCTCAACGATGCCAACCATGCCTGCAGTTGGAGCTCGCGGTGATGGTGGTGGACCCGCATCGAATGCAGAAGCGAGCGAACACTTGGGCAATCAATTGGGCAGTCAAGTGCGTGTTCTCGACGGCTAGGTAGGGATTCCCCATCTAAGCCATCCTACCGTACAAGTCCTTTGAGGAGAGCAGGTTAGCGTTCTGGTTGAGCTGCGCCTTCATCTCGAAGGTCAGCTCCGTGACCTCGCCCTCCGCGCCGCCCCCGCCCGACGCGGAGAGCAGCGGGCTGAACTTGGCGTCGGCGAAGGCCTGTGGCGGGCGGCGCCCACGGTCAGTGTGAGGGGGCGCGGGGGGGGGGGGGGGGGGCCTTTGAGTGTGAGCAACGGGGTGGGGCGGACCTTGAGCTTGGACGCGGACTGATAGATCCACGAGCCGTCGATGTTGTACGTCATGGCGTTCTTCCATACCAGGTCCACGTCGGCGGCGAGCTGCCGCACCTGTTCTCGGCGGCGTCACAGCGTGAAGCGATGACCTCGTGGCGCGCGAGTCGCCTCCGGAGTGTTCGCCGCATCTCCCCCCCCCCCCCCCTATGGGAGCCCGTACCGCAGAAATAAGAGCCCGTGGATGTGAGCGCACCGAAGAGTAGTGCCCCCCCTCAAGCTGCGACGAAACCGTCCCCAAGTCCATCGGCCGCTTCACCACGGTCGGGTAGTCGGGGATGCCAAGCGCCTACTCGACGCGAGGGGGCGTGCAAAGGCGCCGAGGGCCGCGATGGGTGGGTTGGTGGGTGGCGGTGTGTGTGTGGGGGGGGGGGGGGGTCCCACTGCTGGGCACCTTCCAATCCACCGGCGTCAAAAATGGGTCGGCGATGTCCTTCTTCTTGATTTCACGCAGCACGGCCTTGCATTGGCCGAGCTCATCGCCCGACAGCGAGCCGCTGGCGCCTACTCGCACTCGCGGAGCCGCGTCAACCGCCCTCGCCCCTTGGAGGCTCCACCAAAGGAGCCGATTGTACCGCCGCCGCCGCCGCCGTCGCTCAGCGGGCCAGGGGAGACGCCCGACAGCTGCGCGTCGGACAGCTCACGCAGCTGCGCCGCCGCGTCGTAGATCTCACTCCCGTCCGAGTTGAAGGTCTGCGCATTGTCCCACACGAGCGAGATGTCTGCCGCAAAGTCGGAGACGGCAGAGTACCTTTGGTGCACAGCGACAGCGGCTGTTTATGCACAGGGATGGATCGGCGTGAAAGGCGCACCGAGCGGGGGCGGCGGAGCGGCGGGCGGGCGGGAGAAAAGGCGGGCCGGCGGAGGGCGTGGTTGCGGGGGAGGCGGCGCGTGGCGCGGCGGCGGCTACGGCGGCGTGCGTGCCGGCCGGCGAGCAGCTTCTTCTCGATGGTGCCCAGGTCCATCGGATGCTTGATCATCTTTGGGTAGAGCGGCAGGTTGAGCGCCTTCCAGTCGACCGGCACTGCGAAGGGCGCGGAGACGTGCGACTTCTTGAGCGCCTTCAACACGTTCTGGCACGCCTTGACGTTGGCCTCGACGCCGGGTGAGAGCTTCTGCTTCTTGGATGTCGTGCCGACCATGGTGTGTGGTGATGGTGATGGTGCGCTCCCGCACAGCCCGCTACTCTCGTGAGGCTGTGAAAGCACGCCCACCCTAGCGGGATTGGGCTCTCAGGGAACTGCAGCCCTCGATGGTACGCCTCAAGGCGATTTGAGCTGCACCGCCGACCGGCTCCCGGCGGCCAGCCTGACGGCCGCGGAAGCTGCGCCTCGGGATCCGGGTCTAGGCTGAGGTGCCACGCTTGGCTTTCCGGGCGCGGAGGCGCCACGCGCGCTCGCTCGGCGCCGAGGTGACCTGCCGCTCGACGCCCTCGTTCGAGCGTCATATCGGGCACAGCACCGCCTCACGAGCTCCCGCTGCCGCTGCTAGGCTGCCTGAGCGAGAGCTGGTGATAGTACGATCACGCCGACCAGCTACACGCGCCGCTACGCGCGCAGGTGCCCCGCCGCGCCCTGCCACCGCCCGGCGTCGAGCGTCGTCGCTCGCGCTCTCACGAAGGCAAGTGCGTCTGTTCACAGCTCACGAGAGTAACAGCCCGCTCTCGCGCGGAAAAGAAAAAGGAAGCGCACACACCCGACGTTGCTGCGTGCCGTCCTCCCAATGTCTCTTTTCTTTCTTTCTTACACACACTCGGCCTCGCATTCGACCATCGTGGCTACGCCCCGGAAATCGCCAACGCGGTCGTTTAATTACGGGCGGCGCGGCTGCCTTGCGAGCTGTGCGATGTGTCGCCGAATGATCCCAGCTCAGCGCGAGACGTCACGCCATGGCATACGTCGTGGGTGGTAGCACAGTTTGGCTTCCGCGAGAGCTAGCTGCCACAGCTGAGCGTCGAGATGATACAGTTCACGCAGCGGCTGCGGCAGCGGCGGGGCCTCTGGGTGCGACTGTGACCCCCCTTGAGATTTACTTTTCCCGTTGCTGGTCTGGAGATGCACTTGAACAAGCCGCGGCAGCTTCTCAAAAGCGACGACGCAGTCGCACGTGACGGCGCCGGAGGCACTCCACACAAAATACGACTGCGGCTGCAGGTGGTGCAGCTCCTCTGTCCACCTGACGGCGAAGCGCCCCTTCGAAAAGGCGCCGAGCAGCATCGTCGGCGACAGATGATAGCGAAATACCTTCGATCCCACCCATGCCAAATCGGAGGCATACCTCTCTTCGGGGTCGCGAATGACACAGAAGCGGCTGACATTGCCGGGCGCAACCTCATTCCCGCAGCGCGCTTTGAAGATATCGGGTGCCATATGCCACGGTGACGGGTTCTTTTGGACCGTAGGAGGGCAGCGCGTTCGCCAGGTGTGAAACACGGTGCGCTCAGCTGCAATCGAGGCCTCGACGGAGGACCCACCTGTCTTGGGCACATGCAGGAAGAACGCATTATGCAGGAGGGCCAGCGCCTCAGGGTCCGTGCCATTCGAAGCTGAAGTGCTGGCGGCTGACTCTGGCGGCCCCGCCGACTGCTGCAGTGCCAGGGGCAAGCTCGGCTGGGCTGGATGGGGCGTCATCGTCGGGTTGGACCTGTTGGCGGCGTGCAGGCCTACCAACCCGGACGGGCGGGCGTGTGACCGGTTGGCGGCGTGCGGTCGTGTGGGCTTGGCTACCAACCCCTTGTGCATCTGCTCATTGATCTTTGCGATCATGGCCGGCGTCAACGCCGGCGACATTGCGGCTCCGACCAACGCCAGCATGTGTCGTCACACCATCACTTTTACACGCGCTACGACGCGCAAGCGAGCCTACCGTCGGGTCTCTATTTTAAGATGAGGTAAACAGCAATAGATCCGGCCCTCAAGCGGCCTAATCGATACCCGGCCCTCACGGAATCGGTCCCTCGTTGTACAGCAATCGATCCTTCACACTGCCAGCGCGCTGCCAAACTTGGGGTCGAGAATCGGTCCCCAGGTTACCTGTGGCGCGAAGCTGCGATATGTCTCCCGCCCTCGGCGCGCCGACCGCGCAGCGGCGGCAGACCACCTTCCGGTTCGAGGGGCGCCTGGGGCTGAGCGGGCTGCCTCCGCCAGAGTTTGGCTCGCCCACCGGCGGGCTGTCACCCTGCCACGGGTCGCAAGCCCTCTGCCGGCCGGAGCGCAGGCAGGCTGCGCAGGCTTCCAGCAATTGGTCCCTTGGCAAGTGCGAATCGGTCCCCCTGGCTCCAGGAACTGATCCGGCACTACACCCGGATCTATTGCTGTTTACCTCATCTTAAAATAGAGACCCGACGGTACAGTGGGTTGTGGGCATTAAGAAAACAGGATTTGGCGGCACGCCGCCGTTTCTAAGCCTTTCCACAGCCCTCATCCACCCCACGCCGTGGTTTCTTAGCTCCGGCCGGCACTCAGGCCAGAGCCGGCCCCCTACCTAAGGATTTTAGGTAAGAGGTAAGCTGCGGTCCGCGAGGGCGATGCCAGAGTCTGCCGCCGAGTCGGCTCTCTGGATGACGGGAAGGCGCACACACGCCTCCATCTCCACTCCACTCAGAACACCGTAGACTTGGAAAGTGACAAGTGCGCGCGCCGCAGGCGAAGAGAAATTTTGAGCTGGGGCTCCCGTTCACACTCGAGACTCGTGTCTGGCCTTTTCTCGGGGCCGCGCCTGCGGCGCGCCGTGGTTTCTTAGATTTTTGCGGAAATCTCTTGGTAGGGTTTCTTAATGCGACGTTTTCTTAATGCCCGCAACCCACTGTAGTGAACGCCCAGGGAACCGATATGCCTTACACTTGAGAGAGAGAGAGAGACGTACACTTGAGCACTTGAGCACTGGATAGGGTCGATTCCGCGTGGTACGGGACCCCTACAGTATTTTTATGCAATATCTAGATACTCAGGTCCCGCTAGCAAGTCATGAACAGGGTAAGTAAGGGAGGGAGGGAGAGCAAACAACTGGGTGGGAAGTTCACAGCTGAGCTTACCCAGAGAACGCCGTTCTCACCCACAAGCGAGCGCTAGTGAACGCCCAGGGAACCGATATGTCATCCCCAACTGCCCGAGCGCCCGAGGTGGGCGCTCGGAGGCCGGAGGCATGAGAAAGCCGACATGCGCGGGGCGCACGAGCGGCGGAGCGAGAGCAGGCTCGCGTATGGTGTGTGTGTGTGTGTGTGTGTGTGTGTGGCACGCGCGCGGATCTCCATGCGTCCGTGCGCGTGTGTGACGAGGGAGCTAGCTCGTCGGCTCAGATGAGCGAGCGTGCCTCCGCCGCCAGCTGCGTCTCGCGCCTCGGCGTGAGGAGGAAGAGGCCGCGCGTCGAGTCGACGGCATGCCCAAGGTGGTCGTCCAGCCGCTGCGACGGCTCGTGCTGCCCCTTGGTCGGGGAGACGGCCAAGCCGAGCCGGCCAAAGAGGGCTCGCACACGCATGCTCTCGGCGCGAGCCGCCTCCAGCATCGCGCCGTACTCCGGGTGGTCCGCCCGCACGCCCCGTACGAAGAAAGCGAAGTCGTCGAGCCACGGGAGCGTCCGCACGCCGCGGTGCACGCCCGAGTAGTCGAGAGACGGTGCTAGCGCGCCGCTGACCTCGCCGTGCCGCTGTCCAGACAGCCACGGAGAGGCGCGTCGAGACGAGAGGCGACGGAAAGAGGCCTCGAGTCGAGAGACGGCGCCAGCGCGCAGCTGTCTCGCCGCTGGTGACGGAGAGGCGACGAAAGGAAGTCTCAAGCCGAGAGACGGTGCTAGCCGTCTAGGCGGCGAAGGAGAGACGCCTTCCCGAGACCAGAGGCAACTGATATTGGCCTCGATTGTAGGGCGCCGGCCGAGGGTCAGCGCCAGCCGTGATCATACAGCTCCCCCCCCCCCCCCCTCCAGGAAGTAGGCAAATACCAAATTGTGCCCACATCGTCCAGAAAGATGATAGATGTCTAGAAAGATGATAGATGATAGATGTCTCCGTGTGCGCGATCCTCCAGACTCCCGGATTGGCCATTACCAGGTGCAGTATTCCAATCTTATCCATGGAGGTTCGCTGCATCCAGAGCGGTCAAGAGCCGCGACCAAAAATGCCCCGTTGAAAAGCACATTCAAAACGTGATTCCCATCGAGGAGCGTGCGTGTCTGCAAGTCCCCGCTGAACTGGCAGCGCGGCGCGAAGGCGCCCTTGGCGTCGCTCTGCCCCAAGACGTAGTTGATCACCCCTCCGGCTTGGTCGTACGCCGTAGCCCAAGCCAGAAAAGACGCGTGGCCCTTTACGTGCTGAGCACCTGGAGCGAGAACGAGTATTGCGTCGTCGTGCAGCTGGGAATCGTCGACGACGACTACAATGGGCGCTTGTGCTGCCGGTGGGGCCGGCTGCTGTGCTATCTTACAAGCGCCCTCTCCTCTCCTCCCGCCTCACAGAAAACTGCGGCCGCCAGCGACTGAGCGTCTCGCTGGCGGACGGGGAGAGGAACACAAAGGGACGTACGGTACGGACGTCCGTCCACTGGGATGGGGGGGGGGGGGGGAGGAGAGGAATGGAAAGATGAGGTCGAATCTGCTGATTCAACAGCCGCCCAAAGGAGCGCCGCCTCAACACGGGGTCTCGGCTCTACCGAGCCATGCTAGCTCCAGCCGCAGCCCCACCCGGCCGCCCGAGGGTGTTCCCGCAGGCAGAGAAGACATCCTGGGGGAAGTAACCATATTTGTCTGAGCGACTGTGAGAGCCACTGGGGCGGCTAGACCCCCCCCCCCTTACTTTCAGAATTCTAACTTTCTGCCCCCGACCAAACCACTACTTTAATATCAGAGACTACTAAAAGTGAAGACAGGCGTGTACGCAATGCCTCTGTAAACGTTTGGAGAGCCTGGTTTTTTGGGCTGATCCTCGTGTCCCACGCAACCACCTGGAAGCTTTTAGAAGCTTTGCAAGCTTCACGCCAGCTGTGGGGTGAAGTCAGAATTTGGCCCCCCCACCGAGCGACCGAGCTAGCACGCGTGAGCTTGCGTCATTGCAACGCGGAACACGCAAAACATGCACATGCACATGGTGCACGTGCGACATTCGACGAATGCCCGCGAGGTTGCGAGCTCCGGAGCGTCATGGGGCGCCTCAACAAATGTTTGCGGAATGCCGCGGCTGCTGTAT